GAAATGTATTAGAAATAACGAAAGATCAAATAGATAAAGTACGCAATTCTAAAGAATGGTGGAATACACATGATACAGTTTATTTTAATCAAGATGATCCCACTCGAGATGAATTTTGTGTCAAAGATCCTAATCAGATATTAAGTTGGGTAATAGTCATCTATGACGGTGATAATAAACCAGAAGAATATGGACTCACTACAGAATTTAGCGACACAAAATGTTATTGTATATAAAATTATATATTTATACTAAAAAACTAGCATCCATAGGTATGCCATGTCATAAAAATCGGTTAAATACCACCCGGTTACCGCTCCGCTTTTCATTATTTCATATCCATATCAGTGTATTCATTGAAACTACTGTCTGTATCAAAATAGAATGCACTCTGTTGTTTTTCGGATAACTTTCGACAGGAATCCCGGCTCTCCAGCTATCGTCGTTCCGACAGGACACGCTTTCCCAGAGCAGGTGTCTGTCTCCGAGTAGACATCTCGGGGAATCTCGAAATGCCATGGAATATAGGTAATCGACTACGCTGAGCATCGTGCCAATATTTGTTTTTATGTAGAAATAAATATAACTTCGCCAGAAGCATCTTTGCGAAGAATCGGTTTTTCGCCTGTTACTAGCAAAAATCAGAATCCTTATATCTCGATCAAATCTCATGCTGACTCAAGGAACCTTTCACGAAAGACTTAAAAACGCCATATATTGTTGATCAAATCGAGCACTGAAGTATCGTAGAGCACTGAAGCTTTGAAGTTTTTCAGAAGGTTTCTGAAAACCTTAAACCTATGCCCGGCTGAAATTTACCTTTTTCGTCTTCGGTTATGATTTGTAAGCTGTCCTGAGCGTTTCTTGAAAGGTTGCATTCTATTTTTGTACACACAGTAGTGGATGTGTCATCCTTAGCTGTCGAAGGCACAGTTACTAAGATAAGTCTGATTACTCTAACTCTTTTCTCATAGTCATCATCAATTATCATTTAGAGATTTGTTAGAATCTTTTGAGGAGCTCTACTTACATTCATATGTTCGACGCGTGACTTCTTTATCATCGTTAACTTCTGCGGACCATGTATTTTCACTAATAGTAGACAGACTTTCTACATAATGAGACATTACACTTATTCTCGTCTTGTTTTTTACAAAACATTTGCTCCACTTTGCATTTAGGGTGCTCACTAGTAGTGTCACTTTAACTTGTATTCTGCTTATTCTATACTGATGACGAATCGGTAGATTTCACACATTTATTACATTTTATATTATTTTAATATTCTAATTAATTAGTAAAATGTAATAAGCTGCTAAAATTATGCAAGTCCTAGATTTCTAAAGTCCTATCATTAAACAATGATAATCGTTTTATTTACCAAGTGATACGTTATAAAAACTGTCACTTATTATCAGAAAACAAGTAATAATTGTTGTTATTTTATTATTATTACTTTTTCAAATCTAGTGCAATATTTATTACTGATTATAAGAAAAATATTAAAAAGTAATAAATAAAGTAATAAAAGATGTATTACTTGAAGAAGTAATAGTAATAAAATGACAAGAATTATTACTTTTTTACAGATAATGAGTAACAAATGCTTATTACTTTTACTGGATTCGTCCTCACCCTCAAACTAAAGCAGTACATAACAATTCAACAGAATAAAATTCATTTTATAGTTAATTCTAAAAAAATTCTTTCTAAAAAAATTTTTTTTTTTCTAAACTTTTACAGTAAAGTGTAGATCGCAATTCGAATTCGAATTTGAAGGAAAATATTTTTTTTTCTAAACTTTTACAGTAAAGTGTATACCAAGCTTCGAATTCGAACTATGATGTATCGCAATTCCGATTCGAATTTGAAGGAAAATATATTTTTTTTCTAAACGTTTACAGTAAAGTGTATACCACAATTCGCAAAATCGTAGTTATATTCGAACTCGAATTAGTCAGTTACTCTAAATTACAATCAAATACAATCAACTATCAAATAGTCACCATTATGATCAACAACTTTGCACCATTTTTCTGGTAACAAATTGATCCTCCTCCGATAGAAACCTTCATTACTGAAGGCAAAATATCGAGGGAGGTCATTTTTCAATTCTTGAATTTCGATGAACCGCTTCCCGCGCAGGAAATGCTCCAGCGGCCGGAACGAATGGTAGTCTGAAGGCGTGAGATCTACGCTGTAAGGTGGGTGAATGAGACGTTCCCAGCCGAACTCCTGGATTTTCTGCAACGTACGCGGTGCGGTGTGTGGCCGAGTATTGCCTTGTTGCAGGATGACGCCTCTTCGAAAGAACACTGTCAGGTCAGCATGGCACAGTTGGGCACAGTAGGTCTCGGCGTTGATTGTACGCCCTCTTTCAACCAGCTCCCAATAAATCACACCGTCGCTGTACCACCAAACACACAGCATAGCCTGTTTTTGACGCCAATCAGGCTTGGGAGTTCGTAGGCATTCACACATTGTTACTCGTTGGCTGGCGAGAATTCGTGCGGTACCCATTTGCCAACCCACTGGATCTTTACAATAGCCACATGTGAACACTGGAAGTCGGCGGCCAACAGGTGGGTACTCAGATTCGGATGCGCTTCGATGGCTTCGAGCACGGCGTTTTCATCGATGCGCATAGGAACTCTAGAACGGGGTTTGTCTTTGATGTTGTCGCCGCCGTTCCTGAATGTTATGCCAGTCGCACGACTGATTTAAACATGCCTATGTCTCATCATGTCGTTCTGTGATACCGTTGTATATATGCGGCCGGCTTTGAGAAACTAATTTTGAACCACAACCAAATAAGCGACAAGTCATACATGAGACTTTTCTCTAGCACTAAAAATGAAAAGTAAAACAATAGAAAAGGATGCTTGGAGCGAGTTGTGACCGTTTCGTGACTAGTTTTTGAGCATGTCTTGAAAACATGAAAGGCTTAGTACCAAAGTTGAAACATTTTGGTAATAGCGAAGAAGAATCGCAAAAGATTGTTATTTAGTTCTTCTGCTAGATAGCCCAAAAGGGAGCCTAAACACCCCTATGTCTCATCATGTTGTTTAGTACTGAAAAGAATGTATACATTCATGTTCATTCTGTTATGCGATAGCGCTGTATTGTTTTTCTCAGACATATTGAATAATACTGTTCTCAATTTTGTTTACAATCAAATTACCCGTGAATTTATTAAAAGACGTAGATATTTCGTGCAAAAATAATGTAGCATACATCCTTCCACAAAGACCAACAGAGGTTTCCGAAAAAAAGCATTTAGATAATTTCACATTAGAAAATGGATGAAAATTAGTCAAAAATCATCAGTTAGCATAAAAACTTTAATTTAGTAATTAAAACATGCAGAAACCTTTTTTAATACTTTTTATTCGATTAATTTAATTTTAAAATAAAATTATCGATAAGTGCAGAATTTTTGAGGGAAGGTCTCGCGAATAAAAATTGCTTTTTCTTACGTTGTGTATCAATGGATATTGCATTGCAAAGATCATTACTCAAAATATTCATGGGCTTATCCGTTGGTCGATAAATCAGCTGGTGGTGTTACCAAAAAACTGCGTGAATTATGTTTTACATTTGGTCCACCAAAACTATTACATTCGGATAATGGTGCCGAATTCGTCGCCGATGTCATCACTGCATTAAAATTATTATTTCCTGATATGTGTTATATTAGAGGCCGGCCAAGGCATCCACAAAGCCAAGGTTTGGTAGAAAGAGGTAATGGTGTGCTTTGTGATTCTTTAGGTAAATGGATGTCATCAACGAATTCGGAGCGTTGGTCAGACGGTCTGCTGCCTGTTGTGTATGGAATAAATACACGTGTAGCATGTGGTATTAAATGTACACCATATGAGGTAATGTTTGGGAAGAAGTCTCGTTCAGATTCAGATTTTTGGCGAATTATTAAAGATCAAAATGTTGAAGATGAAGAAATGTTACCAGTGCCGGTGGAAGCACAACAAGAATCAGATGAATCAACCAACGACTATGCACTTATTGATGAAGCATTAGCAGCAGCAAATTCTGTTTCAGGCAATGAAGGAGACGGTGAATCCCAATACGATGACTTCTTTCCAATAAATAATCAATCTGCACCTTCAACGCCCGTTCGTAGGTTGAATAATCCAAACGATAATTGCAGGTAACCAGTTTTTACATTTCGTCATGAAAATGTTAGACAACAAGCCACATTCTAACAGCTCTTCAAAAGAAACGAAAATTGTACGATGAACATTTAACACATAAAGCAGAACAATACAAAGTAGGCGATTGCGTAGGTATTAAAATTAGTGAAGTTGATCGAACAAACATTGATGTTAAACTGCTGCCATGTTTAATTCTTTCAAAGGAAAAAAAAGATGATGATTTCATTTTTAGAATTGCATGCAAATTTGGTAAACTTGCGATCTCGTATACGATTGACAGCTTGATCGATTTGCGATCGGCATGGTCATCAGATTTAAAACTAAATGAAGTGAGTCCCCTTGATAAAATAACAGTAATCGAAGCCGCAAAATTATTGGTTCGTGGTACTGTATCCGGTACTATATGCGATTGTAAGACTAAATGTGGGACGAAACATTGTCCATGTAGAAAAGTAGGAGTGACATGCTCAACAAAATGTCATGTTAAACATCGTGGAAGTCTGAATTAAACTTAATTAAAATTTTGCTTGCTTCCTTTCTTACTTTTTAGGACATGTCCAAAAAATCAGTAGAATTATATCAAAAAAAATTATAAAAATTGAAATTTACAAAAATATGCATGTTTTCACTCCACAAAGTACCTCACAAAAAGTGTTTTTTTATATTCATATTTCTTCAGCAAATTATAAATGTGGAAAAATTAAAAAAAATATTAAAAATAACAAAACCCAAAAGACTTCAAAATCCTTTCGGGGACTTCTAAAAAGTTTCGTTATTGTGCCTGCGTATAACATCTTTCATATAATATTTTTTTTCTAAACACATTTCTAATTTCGACTAGCCTAATTCCAAATCAGTACAAGTTAACTTATAATTCTATATCTCATAATAGACAATTTCTAGCTAAAATTTATAGTTTTTGCCTAGTGAAACCTAAAATTTTAATTTTTGCTTGAGAATGCTAGTCAGATTCTAAATTTGGCTGAACAATCCCAGCCAAACTTGAAATTTTAATTTTGGCTAGCCGAATTTAGAATTTGGCTAGCCAAAATTAAAATCAAGAATCTAATTTTAATTTTGGCTAGTCAAACTTGAAATTTTAATTTTGGCTGAGAATCGTTTTGGCTGAATTTTAAGTTTTGCTACAACATATATCCTGTTTTGTTTAGGAACAACTGTATTTTAGTATTGATTTTTTTCTGACTTATTATTTCAGACTTGATTCATATGATTTTTGGCGAAAGACTTCAAATTTTTCAGCAGAACAGGCATTTCAAACAGACATGTGATGTTCGATAAGTTGGGTTTTGACCCCAAATGACTTGTCACAGCGATTTTTGGGCTGAAAAATCGATTCCTCTTTTCTACTTCAAGATATAACGTCAAAAATTCTTTTAGAATCTGCACCTGTTATAGTAAAAAGCGATTTCACTCATATCTGCAATTTTTCTCTGTTGAACGATATATACTCTTGCTGTATTTCTTGATTACTCGAAAGCATTTGATAAGGTCTGGCACGCCGCTTTACTTTACAAATTAAAGAAAAAGGGAGTGAGTATCAGATGAATTACTGGAGTGGCTCTCGAACTACTTAAGTAATCAGCAATTTGTCACTGTTATCAACGGTCAAACCCGTTTCCGATAAATAGAGGAATATCCCAGGGGTCCATTCTTGGCAACTGCTATTTCTTCTGTTTATTGATGACATTTCTTTACAAACACAATCTAAAATACAGTCATTTGCCGATGATACATCTCTATATCACACTGGTAATGATATTTTAAGTGCAACTACCTTCATTAATTCTGACTTAAAAAGCATAAACAAATGATCAAAATTTTGGCAATTATCTCTAAATCCAAAAAGGTGTGTAGGGATATTATTTGATAGAGTAGCAATTATCCCTTCTCTTTCCCTTGATAGCTCGCTCTCGTCTTAGTTTTGGTGATCATCACAAACATCTCGGTGTTTTTCTCACGAGTTCGTTAGACTGGTCAATTCACGTTCGCTATGTATTAAAAAAATGCAATTATACGCTTCACCTTATGCGCAGACATAAACATATTTTGAGTATATGTACTCTTGATCAGATACTGAAATCATACATTCTGCCAGGGTCCACTTATGCCGACATTGTTCACTCTCTTCTAAAACAGAATTCATTAATACAATTTCGTCCTATCTAAGACCCATTTATGACTTGCAATATTTAACATCTCTGACTGGTAGTGGAGCAATACATTTATCATCAAGAGAAGAAGTATTTAAAATTTTAGCTTGGATTCCGTTAGAACACATCTATGCAATCAACAAAATAATTCTTTTCTTTTTCTTTCTACACGTATTCCTACACAGCCAATTGTTACTACATCTTTATGCTCCATAGAGAGATGTCAAGTAAACGTATTTCGTACTCGCACAGAAAAATTCACAAACAATTTTTCCTTGGGTTGTGAGACAATGGAATATATTGCCTGTCAAACTGCAAAACATAATAAAATTAAAAAAAATTTGAATAAAACTTTACGATTTCTTTTAAACTAAACTCCTATATTTAGATTCAAATTCCACTACAACTCACCAAAGAACTGGCAGGTGTAATTGAAAACGATCCACAGTTTAATTATCAAAACTCTTGCGAGCATATTATAAACAATATCGAGTCTATATTTTCCTTAATATTTTCTGAAAAAGATAAAACAATGTTAAATAATCAATGTAAAACAGCAATCGAGTTCATGAAATTAAAAGCCAAACGTCGATCGAAAAAACTGGCAGATTAGCGACTAATATTGATACCAAGTACTATCTTCTTGGGCATATGATGAATGAACATTCCATGATAACATAAAATTTATTTTTTTCTTATTTGGTTCTATAGTCTATTGACAAGAAGAATGAAGAACGGTATAATCAGGCAGAAAAAATAAAAGCGGTACATTTGATTTCTATACTCGAACTGTATTTTCTCCTTTCTATGTTTATACGCTCTAGAATTGCCATCTAGATGATCTCTCATGTGTAACCGAGCAACAAAAGGGGATTATACTTGCTCAAAGTTCACTCAAAGAAGCTCGCAAAATCCACAAATATGCTTTAAATCATCAAGACCCATGCTGAACAATGTTTTTCCTTAGAAACAATTACTTTTGTTCAACCGCGTTACGTTCAACGAGAATAAACGCTACTCAGTTAGCGCAGCCTATAAAAATAATTATCTTTGGAACCGCTGAGACTACCCTGATGAAACTTTTAGAAAATACTTAAATAATAGTTGTTATTTATTGCCCAAAATTTCAGTTCAATCCGTCTGGCGTAAAAAAAGCCGATTTTTCAAACTCTCTCATAATGCTTTTCAATGGGATGGCGTTTGTATTTATATTAGAAATGACATTAAACCCTCATTTATTGCTTCTTCTTGTGATACTGAGTCTATTCTGGTGTCATTAACTTCTAACAATCAATCTTTTACTTATGTAACAATTTATTAGGCGACCTAAGTCCTTCCATCCTCTTTGACAATCTACAGACTTTTCTTCTGTCATATATAAACATAGACAAAGCAATTATTTTTGCAGGTGATTTCAATGTTAGAACAATTAAACCATTAATATCTCTAGGATTGGGATCACTTTTAGACCTCTTTGATTTGACAAATGCTTTCTCTGTGCCAATTAGAGACCGAAACAGGTCGGGTCGGATTTGGGTCAATGTAAATAATATTGGTTCTGGTCGGATCGGGTTCGAACTGAGGTAAAAAATATTGATTCGGATCAGGTCGGGTTCGGGTAAAAATGTCTTCGGGTCGAGTCGGGTCCGGGTCATCCACCTAAGGCTCGATTCGGTCTCTGGTGCCAATCATCACTAAAAATACACATATTGATAACATCTTTCACTCCACTCAATTCCATCCATCTAATACTTTCGCCTTGGATAAATCACTTCATTATATTTTATCATGCTCATTTCCGTATCTCGATCCGGTACGTAATCGCACCAAAGCCACTCTCTACTTCGATCATCTTGATAAAGCTGTTCTTTATGCTAATCAATTGTTCATGAATGATCAACTATTCGGTATTAAGGATCCAGATAATGCCTTACAGTTCTGGATTGAGCATGTCATCTCCTCGACCGAAATCTCTATTCCAGTTAAAATAGTTCCTCTGGTAAAACAATGCGCCCATCGCCTTTCGAGGCAGACGAGATTCCTTCAACGTAAAGCGCCGGTGCCTTCCGTAAAGCGAAAAATAACGGCCATCCTTTAAACTTACAAAAAGATTAGAAACTTGTCAATTCAGTCGGTCCATAGAGAGAAAAACAGGTTATTTCAATCAATAATGAAAACATTTTCATGTAGTAAACGTTTCTGGACACATATAAATAAATACAGGAATACAGAGTGTGATTTGCCAGGTACTCTTAGGCATAACACTACTCTTGCAACTGACGATCAATCTAAAGCACAACTGTTGTCTGACTACTTTGAAACTAATTTTGCTACAACACAAGAACCTCCACTTATACCTCACTCAACCTCTACTTATGTAATTTCTCAATTGTTGTGCGATGTCAAATTCGACGTAGCTGATGTTTCCACCTTTATTTCCAATTTAAAAAATAAAAGTTCGGTTGGGATTGACGGTATATTTATGAAACACCTACAATCGACCCTCTACTCTTAATTACTCACAATATACATCAGCATTTGAATAGCCAACGCAAAATTGTTGGCATTGGGTTTGATTTTGAGAAGCGTTTGATCGCATGCCCCATCATATTTTATTAAGAAAACTCTCATCCGTCGGTATTTTTGGCTCTCTTTTCGACTGGTTCAAATCCTATCTTACAGAAAGAACACAAAAAGTTGTGGTAGGTGAGGTTGCTTCTCTTTCTGTTTCTGTTAGTTCCGGAATTCCTCAAGGGTCAATCTTAGGCCCATTACTTTACCTCATATTTATAAATAACTTACCACAATCGTTAGCTTCTCCGCTATTAACATCCATTTTTGCCGACGATCTATTTCTATCTGTGATCTGAATGAGGCTCAATCTTGTATTGATGAAGTAACTTGCTGGTGTGGCACTAAGTTCGTTGGTCTCAGTATGAAAAAATGTGAGTGGGTAATATTTTCTACTATACCTAATACCTATCCATCCGTGTCACTTACTATTAACGATATAAAAATTGAACGCTCAACAGCCATAAAATTACTTGGCATGAGACTTGTTCACGACCTCACTTATAAACGCCACTTAGAACATATTGCGTCTAATTGTACAAAGATGTTGGGATCTATTTCTCGTGTGTTTAGGGATACTCCACCTTCGTTACGTCGTCACTTGTATAAAACTTGTGTTTGCCCGGCTTTGGAGTATGGTTTTATCATTTATAATTCATCCTATTCTACTCGCTTACCTGTATTAGACAAAGTACAGAATCTAGCATATAGAATCATACTAAAAGACTATGTATCCAATTCTACTATCCTTTTGAGCCAGTTAAATT